CCTCCAGTATTGCTGTACTGATTATGATGACCACCTCCGTACATGCCAACGTCCATCGTCATCATTGCTCGCACTGATCACCACAATCACTGCTTACCACGTCGCGCTCTGATCATGACTGACGTTCTGCGCGCTCTGAACGCCTGCGATTGCTGGCAGGGGGAGTGGTTAGGTGCGCACAGCCAAGCACGGACCAATCGGAACGCAGCCAAGGAGCGGAGATGAGATGCTGCGACACGGATTGGCCAGCATCCGGCCACCATTGCGGCGTTCCCAGCTATAGAGACGTTTCATTTCAAGCAGAGAGCCCTACAAGTGTCAGCTACTGTGTGTGACATGACAGCTCTACTTGTGTTCCTTCCATGTAGGTAATGGAGCCTGCTGAGAGCGGGAGAGGACGGATATATTATGGCGATGCTTATCGCCAGGTGCATTAAGCTGGCCTTTAATACAACTTCATATGAATATATTGATTATGGCTGCATTGTTAAAGTTATTTTTGATTATTTTAACTCAAAACATTTACAATAGATAATTTGTTGGATTCTGGTTCAGGAAAGGTCATGGCTTTGAAACTGCTCTTCAAATTACAATAACAGATTGGTTGAATAACTAGGTATAAGTATACACAATTGACAGGCAAATATTGATAAAAAAGTTGAATCCATATGGAGTTGGTGGCACTGTTCTAAAATGGACAGTCAGTTATCTAAGCGACAGAAGCCTTAGATCGGTTCTTCTATCTCTAGTAACATTTCTGTAGACCTCGAAGTTCCCCAGGGAAGTACCCTCGGGCCGTTGATTTTTATACTACCTATACTTAAAGGATATGGAACTTCTTCAGATGTGTAGCTCGATAATTCTATTTGCCAATGATAGAATAGAATAGAAATCTATTGGTTTCTCAGTTATAAAAAAAAACAAAGAAATTTACTCGTATAACAGAGACAACACGTCATTGTGATACAGTGTAAATAACACATACAAAAACAACATATAACAACAGCGATATTAATGCTTACGGTTTCACTAGAGCACATAACTCTTCAATACTATATGGTTCCATATCGCATATATATTTATGAATGCTTTTTTTTGAATATAGTAAATGCTGAAATGGATTGAAGATTTTGAAGTAAAGCATTGTAAAGTTTCAGTGCAGAGTAATGTGGACATTTTTCGGTAGAATTTAGCTTATGTGATGGGTAGAAGTATTTCTGACTTTTGCGAGTATTGTACCTGTGGTTGAAGACGTTTCTTCCAAACTTTTCTTTATGGATAAAGATAAATAGTAGAGTGTTATAGATATAAATTGCCGGTAATGTTAATAAGCGGTTGACATATATATATAATAATATATAAATATACTTGTACATGACTCTCTAGGTTTCATTTTGAACATTGTTCTTATTATCCTCTTTTGTATGATAAAACTTCTATTGGCTGTGGGGCTATTACCCCACATTGTTATTTGATAAGACATAATAGAATACGCAAGCCCATAGTAGGCAGCCTGCACAGCTTGCAAGGGCAGGTGGCAAGTGAGTACTCGTAGTGCATAGAATGCTTAATTGAGTTTTAAAGCTATCTGCTCAATGTGCTTATCAAACTTAAGACAGCTATCGTATGTGACACCTAGGAGGTTTGCATCGCTTTTGATACATAGAGGTTCATTGATTAAGGGTAGTTCTTTGGCGGCATGGCTTGACTGAAATAGGACACAATACGTTTTTTGTATGTTGAATGCTAACTTATTCATCTGCAGCCAGTTTTGAATATGGTTTATTTGGGTCTTTATCAAGATTTGGATATCAGACGTTCCTTTACATGGTTTCAGAATAGTTATATCACCTGCACAGATGAAACTTAGATTTTGCGTGTTCTTTTGCGGTGGTGGGTGGTGGATAATTTATTAATATAAATAATAAACAATGTTGGACCCAGTGTACTGCCTTGAGGAACACCAGTAGGTACTATATATCCGAGGACTAGATGTTATTCGTTTCCCAGTTTTGTTAAAAATTGCTTCTGGGAATTTTCCTTCACTGAGAGATGTATTTAGGATATCAAGAAGAGGGTCACATATTATGGTTATCATTTTTATAATGATGAAAATTGGAACGTTGTCATCACCACAACCTTTTGTGTTTTTTAGGTTGCATACAATTCTGAGCAATTCGTCATGATCTATTGGAGTTAAAAATATTGTTTTATTTTTTAGTTCTAGGTTGCAGTCATAATTCAAATTTGGTACTTTTGAGAGGAGTTTTGGAGCAGCTTCGACAAAGCTTTTATTGAAATGGTTGGCTAAAGCATTTAATCATTATGTACCGGTAAAACAAACTGATCTGACGACGTTTTGGGAGTGTTAGTTAATTCTCGCACTGTATTCCAAATTCCTTTACTTCTACTGCCATGATTATTTACTTTGTTTAAATAGTATTGCGATTTTGAATATTTTAAGAGTTTCACATATGCCCGATCATAAATTTTAAAAACATCTTTATATTTTATATCGTTTTGGGAAATCATTTTAAGAACACTCACCCTGTTCCTGAGTCGATCCAATTCTGGGGTAATCCAAGGAGGTTTCTTACTTTCCGCAGCTCGCTTTTTTATCCTCAGAGGAAAATAGTAATTGAAACTGCTTTGTATTATCTGAGAAAATATGTCCCACTTTATGTTTATGTTGACACTCTATAAATTTCGTTCCATGATGCTGATTTTAGATTTTGTAGAAAACTATTTATATGTGAGTTAGAAAACACTCTAGTCAATTTGGATTCATGATCGATTATGGTATTGAGTGAAAAGAGGGTATGTTGCCCTCTATGGTCAGAAAAAGGTGTATCAATAATTTTAGACTGAAAGTTCACATCTGCGTTAATGAAAATATTGTCTAAACATGCTTTGGAGTCATTTTTTACTCTAGTGAAATCGGTAATAGTTGCTTTCAAACCGTAGGAATAAATTATGTCAATAGAGTCTTATGATTTCCTATTTGTCACCAACAGATTTATATTAAAATCGCCGGCTATGACACATCTCTTTTTTCATTACTAATTTTATCTAGAACTATTTAAAGTTTCTCAAAAAACGCGTCGATTTTCAAGGTTATTTCGAGGGCTGCACATTCAAACACATTGCACTCCGACATTTTTTTGAGATCTTCACGCACTTTCACTCTTCCTTGAAGTATATCGTGGTTGCAGTAGATATCACACCCTCCATGATGACCTCGTTCACGGCAGAAGAATGAGATGAGCTCAAAATTTGTAATCTTGATAGCTTGAATTTGCTGTTGATCTTGCCAGTGCTCTGTGATACATAGAAAATGGCACGGATCGTGGTTATGTATGCTATGTTCCAGCTCGCTTACGCAATTTCCTAATGATTGAAGGTTGTAGTGTTGGATCCCTAAGGCTTATTCTCTATTGAGTTAAAGTTGAATGGGCGCGTCTCCAAAAATTTATGATTCGATTATTCTCAAAAGAGTGCTATTGATTCAAGAGCATGAGTTTCTATGAATTATGATATTGATTGGATATTACAGATACTTCTAATAAGGTAATATCGTTGTTTGAAAGAAACGTAGCACGTACATTTGAGAAATTTGCCTTAATCCAAAGATATATGTCTTAGAAGCATACCGAAGTCGCGGTCCTCAATTAAAGATACTTGTTCTTGAACCAAGGTCACTCTTTTTTGTGTGTATCATCGTTATTCCAAACTTCGCGTAATAAATACGTTTTATTATTACTTATTAATATTATTATATCAAGTAGGCACAAAAACAGGAATATAATACAAGCTAACATCCAAATCAACGCTGAAAATACAGCCCTAAGTATAGTTGACAGCATAATGTATCTAGTATTTATGCTAATTGGAAACCTAAGTCTTAACAGTCATAGCAATTATATTACACTGGTCTGCAACAAAATCCTCCTTCAAATAATTATGTCATAAATATGGACATTTTGATGCTCTCAATCTACTCCTGGTGGCCGATTTTTTCAATCACGTCTAGATATTTCAAAAATATCATAAAGTCAGTTTTTTAAATTCCTTTTATGCGTTAACATTATAAACAATGTACCTATATACATACGAAATAAGTTTTTGCTAGTCGTAAGAAAAAAAATTAAAGTGCTGAAAGTGATTTCTATGCTAGTAGGGTAAGAGCGCGTAAGAGTACGCACTTAACTTTTGACAGAAGACAGAAACGTCATATACAGTTTTATTTTTTTATTCGAAATAAATTTCACTTGCTTGGCGCGTCAAGCATCAGAAAACAGCAAAACACATTTTTCTTCGTATTAACAAAAAAGATACAACTATTTAAACAAAAAAACGCATATGCGTACTCTTGCGAACACTGGATTTAATGAGTACGCAGTGGTGGTGGTAAGAGTACGCACGATGGATATTTTGGTTAGGTACAAAAATCGCATACAAATTCACCAGATCCCGAATATTCGCTACAGTCCTCATGCCACCAGGTACTACAAGAACCACATCTGATCCACTCTGAAGTGCTGTAATGTTCGCTGCACAAGGGACAGGCAACATCATCTACAGAACCGCTAAGTTTTTTAGAAGCCGGTAATTTTTGCTCTATATTTTCTTTGGGGCGATCCTCTGGTGCTTTCCTTTTTTTGCCGAAGACATTCTTCTTTACACTATTTTGTTGTGACTCCAGTTTTTCTGTCAATATATCTTTGTATGGTGTGGAGGTTAATATCTCTGATTTTTTAGAATTTTTGCGCCTAACCTGTGCGTGCTTTGTCTTAGGGAACGAGATAATATCGGATGGCTTTACACTTGTCGAATTCAGTATACTGTCATTTTGATCTATTGTACTGTGTGGTATTTCTTCGTTTTTGTCATTGTTATGCTTGGAAATAGCATGTTTTTCTGGGGTTTTGTTGTTCATTTCTACTTTTTTTTGTATTTTTTTCTAGTTTCCTAGTTCTGGATCCGTATGATTAGGATCAATGTCAGTCATTAAAAACATCTGGATTATAAGGGTATAAACCAGTGGCTTCAAAACCCTTTTGGCATATGGATACCGTTGCAACCCTTGAATACGCTTGTCCGAAGAGCATAGCCATTTGTTTTTGAGTAATCGGCTTGCCAGGATTTGTGGTCATATATTTGTCGCATTCGGATGAAAAAGCAGTTTTCAACGGCGCAAAAAAACCTTTATCAAGCGGCTGTAGCTTATGGCTTGCGTGCGGTGGTAGTGTGAGCAAGATTATAAAATGTTCTCTACAATATGAGATTAACTGCAGTGAACAATGAGACACATGATTGTCCATAGTAAGTAATACCGGGTCGTCTTTGGTGGGCTTTACATGGTTACAAATATGTTTTATCCACTCCAAGAATAACTCCGTATTCATATAACCGGTGTCAGAAATCAGTTTCAAGGTATCCAGTGGTGCCCCAAAGAACAACTCTTCTCTCATCCGTTTTCTCGGGAAAATTAGGCCAGGCGGAACCCATATCCTAGAAGCACCCATGCAGCAAACTGCTGTTATAAGTTGCCCACGTTCTGCCGCCACGATCTTTGAGACACACTTATTTCCTCTTTGTGAATATATTTTAGGCAACCTGTTTGGCACTGTTGATAAGCCTGACTCGTCCATGTTGAATAAACGGTGAGGTTGCATGTTATATTTCTCATAACAAGCTTTTAAGTTGTCAAAAAATGTATTGACTTGGGGTCTATTAAACCCCATCGCTCTTGCCAAACTGCATTTTTCTGGGACTCGCAGAGACAAGTTCTGACGAGCTGCAAAGTCACTAATCCAATGTCTTCCTGCCATTTTTGTTTCAGAATTAAAACGATGCGGAATATTATTTAATTCTGCGTATTGATAAGCAAGTGCCATTACTTGTTTTCTTCCCAGGCCATAAAACCTTATTTCAAGATCTTTAATGTGTGCAGCTAATTCCCTCTCTTGAGCATGTGTGAAGACGGGTTGAAACCGGCCTAGTGACGTCGGAACTGTTCCCTAAAACATTTTTTTTTTATTAAGTAGTTGTAACATTTTTTTGTTAAATTAATGTATTACCATTCGAAGCCGCTTTCTTAAGCTGCATTCATTTACTCACAAAGATGCCGCAACGGATCGTTTACTTTCTCCATTATCAATCCTTGTTTGGGCTTCCTCTAATAATTGTTGTGTAAACTTTAACTCCCGGCCAGATTTTCTTTCTTGCTTTGCCATTGTCTGTAGATCATTTATTTTTATTAGATTAATGGAAAAAATTTAAAGAGTGGTAAGAGCACGCGTTGGCCATAAAGAGTACGCGTGGCCATAAAGAGTACGCGCGTACTCTTTGTGTGCGTACTCTTGGGTACATGAACAAGAGGGCAAGGGCATGCATTTTCTGAAAATAGGCAACCACATTCACGTGAAGCATATTGATCATTTTATAACCAAACAAACCTCCGTGGAGGTGCATAGTCAAAATCCGGTCTTAAGCTTCAACTAGACAACACACTACCTATTGTAAGCTCGCAAGAAGTTATAAAAAAATATGCAAATTCTTTCTACTTACATTTTTTTCCTTGTAATTTCCGCCAAACACTGCCTTATTTTGCCCAACAACAACCTTCCTTTAGACACATTGACACTGCAGACTACACCTATCAGACGACTTTAGAACTATCCGATTCGCGCATTGCGTACTCTTACGGGCTGCGTACTCTTACGCGCCCTTACCCTACATGTGCGCCTGCGCAGTATTAATTGAGACTTTACAACAGTTAGTTGAAAACTTCAATTGTTTACGTTCTATATCAAATACTTTAGTAAGTTTTGCACAAAATTCATAGTTTGGGTAGCTTTTGTAAAGGTGTTTCAGAATTTCCTTGGCAATACAAAAGCTGACAACTACCGACAAACCATTCGATTGCTTCTTTCTGCTTATAAAGCTTTAGGATGCAATATGCTACTCAAAATTCATTTCTTGGACTCGCATGTAGATTTCTTTCCGGAAAATCGCGGTGCCGTATCGGATGAGTATGGTGAAAGGTTTCATTAGGATATTAAGCATATTGAAAGACACAGCAATGCTTGCCGATTTTTGTTGGTCGATTCGCCGAGAAACTTCGGAAGCGATGAAAAGAAATAAACTACAAAATAACTTGAACTATATTACCATACTGAGATAAAGATACTGATATTTCTTTAACTTGTGACTGTAAAATTGGCATATTTCGCTGTAAAACGTAGACCGTAGTCTTTTTTCACTTTTTTGTAATTGTTGTTACTTTGATAATATGATTTTTTCATTAAATTAACATATTTAAAATCTATCTGATGTATTTGTTTGCATGTTAAATTCCGTGTTTAGAGCACCGAATATGATGAAAACATTGATAAGAGAATAAAATAAAAAGAAATTTTTTTTCCAGAATTTCTAAACTGCTGTCAATATTGGCAAGAGCTACGATTTATAATACTAAAGCCCCATTTTCAGTACTGTTCATCTTTATTATATTACAAGAACTGTAAGCCATCATCTTTACTTAGTGACCATTGCTATATATTCAAGGCAGTTAAAGAACCAACTCCTATTTTCATTTACCTAAAACCAATAGAGTGTGCACAATGAAAACAATCATGTACAAAGGTCTGAAGGAATATAATAACACTTGTCGTACATATTATTATACGTGATAATGCTTAAGTTTAATATACTTAGATTTACTTGAATTTCGACGATCTCAAATCAATACCTCGAAAGTCCAAAGATGTCGATTTTCTGATTTTGTTTTGCTTTTATTCGTGTATGCATACAGTAATGTTCTCAGAAAATCCATATCGATGGTTCTTATAAAATGTCGATTTATGCATACAGGAATCAAAACAGAACAAAATCAGAAAATCAGCATTTTTCGGACTTACGAGGTATTGATTTGGAATCGTCGATTTGTTTTCCTTTTATTGTGAGCAGCTGAGAGCCGCCAATTTTTGCTTTCTGTTGCTGTTTCAAAAATTAGGACCCCTAAAATAAAGGTTGCTACTTAATTAGTAGCAATTCAGTAGAATAAGTTTATAAAGTTACAATCCGAACCACATTTTTTATTTTCATTAAAAACTTCAACTTAATCATGCATTATTTGTTGTCGTTAAAATATATGACTCGCCTGTGGCACAACATACATATACTTTCGCATCCAACGTGCTGTGTGTAAAGATTATTTAGGTATCTAGGGCTGTAAAGCGGTCGGTTATGGATCGGAACGTGAAATCAAAGCCCAATTCGCGAGACATTGCAGGCGCTAACACGTCATAAGGCATCAACGTCTAATATCCCAGGGTGTCTACGAAAGGTTGGGAAATCTTGAAACTGGTGATACTTTGATTGACCTAAAAATATCTCTGTCCAAATTTGACAGTTTTCGAGATACAAAGTTACAATTTTATTTTCCATTTTTCCTTATTGCTCGATGAGTATTTCAGATTTTGGCATAAATCTCGGTATAGGGAGGTTTTCTGGTATGAGAAACAAGAATCCGTTATTTTTTATGGCCAAACTTCCAGAAGGCGCCACTTACAGCACTATTTCTTTTGTGCTACCCTGTATACAACAACTGATCGAAAAATCTTATTTTCTCGTATTTCCACAGCAAATAAGATTTACTTGTTATCTAAAGCTAATAGTTTTCGAGATATTTGTTTTTTAAAAGTTCCAATGCATTATTTATACCATGACGATAAAACATTTTTATAACATAATCAAGTTGCTTTGGGTAATATCTGAGTAGCGTTGCTATGGTTTCTAATGTTCGTCATAATATTGCTTCAAGCTTCATGAATAATTTTAAGTTGACAATGAGTTGTTAAACATCTTCTAATATACGTTTAATGAATATTCTGATAAGCATTTAATGTACCGATTGGCAAGATATAATGAAACTTTCAAAAACAAATATCTCGGAAACTATTAGCTTTAGATGCTTCTAACAAGTAAACCTTTTGTTTGTCGAAGCCAGTTTTGGGCATCTCTTGAGTAATGCCATGATGCTAGGTCTGGCCGAAACATGATATGTTCATTAGCATGATGCTAGTGGACAAACTGAAGCTATTTGGAAAGACAGTTATCAAAAGAGCTCTGACTATCCAAAGCTTCACCCCTCACTCTTCCCACAAAAGGCTGGCATACAGCTCTGTTAGAAATTGCGCACCAGACAAGGATTTTATCTGTAAATTTCGCTTTATGTTTGTATTCAACATTGTTGGGGCATTCCTATTTGGGGCACTGAAGTCTCGTTCGGTATTTAAAACCATTCGTCCTCAATTCCAACGATATCGTACTCTTAGAAGATCTGTATAACGACCCAGTCTCCTTGTTGGCATTCCAACCTGATTTTTTGCTCTTCTCACCAATCTCTCCGACCTCTGGGCAATAAATGCACGTGGTCTTCCACTTTTTGGGGGACACATACATGGTATTCCCTGCTCGCACTCCACTATTGTTCGATAAATGATTATGCCTGAAATGTTTTCATTCTGGAATATTCGATAGATTTCAGTTTTGGGTACCCGCCCAACTAACTTCCAGCGACTTTTTTTTATTTCTAATTTTTACGACATCTTAAAGCGGAAACTTCAAAACAAATAAATGTCAACTGACATTAAAGTAAGTGAACAGACTTTGGTTTTTGAAGGCAACTTAATATTATTTTGTGTTTGTTAAAATTAAAGCTAATTAGTTTTGTGCCAAACATTTAGAACATACGTTAATATAGGAGTGAGTGACTCACTATTGAAGGTCAGTAATAATCAAAAATACTTTGACCGCTACTTCAGCAAAAACATCGAACAAAGAGTAAAAGTATATATGAAAGTTTACAGGTAGTTTACAGTTATTTGGCCTGCAGAGCAATGGTCTGGTTGTATTATAGGTCCTTTTGTGTACCCAGGCGAAGGCCTGTAGCTCCCATGATCCCTCGTTAAATCAATTTTTGAGGGCGTTTAGCCTACGAATCCATAGGTATACGGAGTAAAGTTCACCCGCGGACATAGGAAATTTTCGCTCCGCTTAGCACGTTTTTCAAATTCTTGATCATCCTCTGCTCTAAATCAGGGAATTTTGGAGTGCTTTGGATATAGCCTCTTAAGATGATGAATTCAACTATGAATCTTATCGTTCAGAAGGTTAGTTACAGCATCTACAATACTGTTCTATCATGATACTAATATTATAATATTTTTAGATTCCAAGGGATGATTATTTCCGGAAAACGGATGGAGAGGCCACTACTACTTACTTATTATGATTACATGCTACCTACATTTAGCGATATTCAGGTGCTTCATTTTTGGGAAACTTGATACAGGCTGACTTCAGTTGTAGCATAAAGAAGAGCACCTTATTAGTTATACTCATTACTGTTGTTGGGAGTACTTCAAATCCAGTTCCTATGCTTAACAAGTTTGCCGGGTATTGGATATTTTTGTTGTACTTCAGCTTCATTTTTGGGAAACTTGATACTGCCTGACTTCAGTTGTAGCATATTAGTTATACTCATTACTGTTGTTGGGGACACTTTAAATCTAGTTCCTATATCTAACAAAGTATCCTGTGTAGCCATATACCACAATAATGTTAAAATATGGCCATATAAAGTCCTATACACGGTTTTGCAATATCTTTTTTCATCGCTTTTTGCTATCATTTCTGCTAAGTCAATAAATGTTTTCTTTGGCATGCGGAAAAGTTTAGAGAAAGTTATCATAGCTAAAAGCCATGGTTCCATCATTAAAAACTATTTTCTGAAAAAAAAAAACATTTCTACCAGTAATATTATGAAAGGTTTCTTTTTCAAACCTTCCATACACTGTTGTAGACGAAAAAGCACCGGTCATCAATCAAGTGTTA